GATTGGTGGTATTGAGATTACTGTGATCAGTATCACTGGTGTTTAGGTTACTAAGGTTACAGATTACTTAGGATAGGATTGGTGGTATTAAGATTACTGTGATCAGTATCACTGGTATTTAGGTTACTAAGGTTACAGATTACTTAGGTTGAGGTAACCCTGAAAAGGATTATTATAGATTTATCTGTAAGTGTTGGGGTTATAATTACTGGGGTTTGGATTAGTGTTTTTTTTGTTGGGATAACTGGGGTTTGGATTAGTGTTTTTTTGTTGGGATTACTGGGGTTTGGATTAGTGGGTTTTTTTGTTGGGATTACTGGGATTTGGATTAGTGGGTTTTTGTTGGATTACTGGGGTTTGGATTAATGTTTCTTGTTGAGATTACTGGGGTCTGGATTAGTGTTTTTTTGTTGGGATTACTGGGGTTTGGATTAGTGTTTCTTGTTGAGATTACTGGGTTTGGATTAGTGTTTTTTTGTTGGGATTACTGGGATTTGGATTAGTGGGTTTTTAGTGGATTACTGGGGTTTGGATTATTGTTTTTTGTTGGGATTACTGGGGTTTGGATTAGTGGTGTTTTGTTGGGATTACTGGGGTTTGGATTAGTGTTTTTTTGTTGGGATTACTGGGATTTGGATTAGTGGGTTTATGTTGGATTACTGGGGTTTGGATTAGTGGGTTTTTGTTGGGATTACAATGGTTGACATTACTGGGATTAGGATATCTGTGACTGGATAATCAAAGTTGCGATTACTGATATTTCGGCAGCTGTAGTTGGAATTAATCTGTAAGGATTACTGAGTTAGGAGTATTTTAATAAGAATTACTGGGATTGGGATAATGGGGGTAAGGGTTACTGGGGTTAGGGCTATGGGGATAAGGATTACTTGGGTAGGGATAATGGGGGTAAGGGTTACTTTGATTGGGGCTATGGGGATAAGGATGACCCGGGTTGGGATAATGGGGGTAAGGGTTACTGGGGTTGGGGCTATGGGGATAAGGATTACTTGGGTTGGGATTATGGTGGTAAGGATTACTTGGGTTGGGGATATTGTGGTAAGGATTACTGGGGTTGGGATTATACGGGTAATGATTACTGGAGCTGGGATTTAGGAGGTAAGGATTACTTGGGTTGGGATTATGGTGGTAAGGATTACTGGGGTTGGGGCTATGGGGGAAAGGATGTCTTTTGGATCACTTGGATACAAATTTCTATGCTATGGAATTCTAAATTTGGATTACTATGTGGATCATATTACTGGAGGGGTGGGGGTACCTTAGGTAAAATTAAGAGGGTCTAGATCACTGGGATTACTGGGGTTCAGGATTACAGGGGCATGGATCAGTTGGTTGGGATCAGGACTCGGATACAATAAATAACTGGGGTTATTATGCTTTGCATGTGAGGATGATCAGGGACGGAATTAGCTTGAAAAATTGTTTACATCTTCTTTTCCCCCCCTTTCTTTGTTACAGGCCAATGGATCTTTAATGACGTTCGTTTGTGCGAAAAGAAATGACCTCCAGCTCCATACCCTTGGTTACGACCTGCATGTACAGGTAGAACTCTCTCTCCAGGGAAACAACAAAGAGGACGATTTGAAGATCATGGTCACTGCCCCCAATTTGATGGTAACAATTCTACTGAGAACAACCTGATTTGATATACCATATCATCTTACATATACCCTATCATCTTACATATTATCATCTTACATATTATCATCTTACATATACCCTATCATCTTATATATACCCTATTATCTTACATATTATCATCTTACATATACCCTATCATCTTACATATACCCTATCATCTTACATGATGCAAGCCTCTATATAAAGATGGAATTAGATCATTGATTTAAATCTGTAGGCCTCTATATAAAGATCTTATTGGATACTTAATATAAGCCTTTCGGCCGCATTGGCTTAGTGAATACTAAACACAACTTAAACATCTTTAAACACAGTTCTCAAAGAATACTGCAAACACCTGGAGGCCTCTATATACAGGTATTAGGGGATACTGAACACAACTTGGATACGTTCATGTTACATTTTGTTTGTAGCTAATGGGAGAAATCAATGAGGATGAGAAGAGCTTTGGTCTAGTTCAGTGCTGTAGTCCTGCCTTTCCTACAAGTGAGTTATCATGGGCTGAATTTTTTAGTTAATGCTTCAGATTTAGCATGGGAAGTGCTCACTTATTCTGTGTTTAAATTTGATTGTATTTAAAATATGACATGATGTTTAGTACATGTAAATATTAATTATTAACATCGGGAAAACCAACTTTTTTTTAATATTTTTTGTGTGTGTAGAATTCTACTTTTTAGCTCCGCTTTTCGAAGAATAGGGGGGCTAATGTAGTCACCCTGGCATTGGCGTCGGCATCCCAACTTCGGAGGTTAAAGTTTTTGGGCAAGTTTTCCAGACAGTGTTGGATCATCACAATAAATACACAGTTGTCTATTATGAGTTTAAATAATTTAAATCGAGTGTAAGCAATGTGCTGGACCATATTTTTAAATTTTAGGGGCCAAAAACAGCTTAATTGGACTTAGTTAAATTTGGGGTTAAAGGTTAAATTTGAGGTTAAAGTTTTTGGGCAAGATTTTTCCAGACAGTGTTGGATCATCACACTCAACACACGGTTGTCTATTATGAGTTTAAATAATTAAAACGAGTGTAAGCAATGTGCTGGACCATATTTTCATATTTTAGAGGCTACCAACAGTTTAATTGGAATTATTCAAATTTGAGGTTAAATTTTTTGGGCAAGTTTTTTTGTGAAGTGTTTGACAACTACCATCAATAGGCTGTTGTCTATTATAAGGTTGAAGTACTAATATGGGTGTTAGCAATGTTCTGGACAATATTTTCATATTTTAGGGGCCAATAACTGCTTTATTTGACATGATTAATGATTTCGGTAAGCTTGAGGTGGGCAAGGTTTTTGGGGGGTAGTTTTGGACTTCCACCATCAATAGGCTGTTGTCTATTATAAGGTTTAAGTATTGGTATTGAGTGTAAGCAATGTGTTGAACCACATTTTCATATTTTAGGGGCCAAAAACAGCTTCATTGGACTTGGTTAAAGTTTTATGGCAAGCTTCAGATTAAAGTTTTTGGGCAAGTTTTTTTGTGTAGTGTTGGATCTCACCACCATCAATAGACTGTTGTATATTATAAGGTTGGAGTATTTATATGGAGTGTTAGCAATGTTCTGAATTGTATTTTCATTATTTTAGGGGTCAAAACTGGTTAGTTGGACATTGTTTAAGTTTTTGGGCAAGGTTTTTTTGTGCAGTGTTTGATCGGTCACCACGATCAATACGCTGTTAAATATTTCATGTTGGCTGGTCATCTCTTACATGCTAAGGTACAGGAAAGTCTTGTTATATTGCCATTATTTGTTCAAAAAAATGTTGGCATTATAGAGGGGTTTGGCAATAAATTGAGAGAAACATGTGAGGAATTCTTAAGAAGAACATAACTAATTATAAGGGAATTGAAAATATGTTGGCGGTAACTGAGGTGGCAAATGAAATGATGGGCATTATATCAAGGTTTTACTGTACATTGATTTCTATTGCTATTTGCTATTTTACAACATAAATCACCAATAGGTGAGCTATGCTGTTCTTCAACAGCTCTTGTTTAATATCAAATGCATATTTACATTTCATGCTTTATGCATCATAAGCAGAGAAGTGATATGTTTATGTTAAACTATTGAATTTTATTTTTTTGACAGAAACTGAGAGACAAATGACGATGATGTATGCTTCAATGGAAGAGACAATGGTGAAGAGGGTCAAACAATTTTCTGGTAAGGATTTTTTAACCTTTATAGCGTATATAGATTATTGGTTTGATGTATGAAGTTATGGAAATGATTTTAAAGATGCATATACATTGCAGTACAACATTAAACCTGGCTTTTTATGTACATTGTATTCTACAGGTTCAGTTGGAGTGTTACTACCAAAGAGTTTGACAGTGAACAACCTTCTCTTTCCCACTATGGGACTGGTAAAGGATCGGAAGAACCAGCTATACTATCCAACCTGTTCATTAAACTGTAAGTACAGACCACAATAATGTCATCAAGTTAAAATAAAGGTTATAGAAGGTAATAAAGTTAAAACGGCTTTCATGGAGGTATTCAAGGTATGGATCATTATAAAAGAGTTAAATACAGATCCATTGAGTTTAAATGGAGAGATTTGATGTGTAACCAACTTGTAAGTGAGATGTTTAGGGTAAGACTGATACAGATTCACTCCTAGGTATTTTTGAATCTGCAGCTGTATATGGAAACATTGTAGATTGGATACATTCATCTGTAAAAAGTTATAAAAAAAATGTGGGGCTCTGGTGTTAGATTCCAAAACTGCAAACAGCATTTTGACCATGATCTTGGGACAGAAGAATTAAACTCTCACAGTTGTGTATTTTAATCAAATTGATTTTTAAATCTTAACTTAGCTAAACAAGTGGCAGGTCTGAAGAATATCTGTTTCTTGTAAAATATCATTCCTTTTCATATTAAATTACTTTGTCTGAATTGTATTACAAGAAAAGCAATAGATATATTCTAAAAGCAAATGTTTAGATGTTCTATTGAATCTGGTTGGAGTATTTGCATACCATCAAGGCCCAGACCTAACTTTTCCAGAGTTTAAATTTCATTACGAATTGCTCAATGTATTACAAAAGACAAACATTTGTTACAGTGACAGAAATTTACGGATGGCCACCAGTCAACTTGATCCATTTAGTGAATGGAGAGGGTATTCCAACAACAGAGTTTGAAAAAGCTAAAATGCCTGAGCATTTCCTCTGGGGTGTTCATGTCATCCTGTCTCACTACAAAAAGGTATGCTGTATCGACACAAATATTTGTAGCGGAACTGGACTGGGTCAATCGGCGGCAACCAGGTAGCTCAATTGGTAGAGTGTCTGTCAAGAGTTACGAGGGTCCCAGTTCGAACCCGTCTTGCTGTTGCATTTCTCTTTTTCCTGTTACAAAATTGGCGAGCTTGTCCACCCTTGTTTCCAAGCACTGGGTGAATGCTTTGCAAGCTAGGGCATACTCGAATCTGGGTTGTAAATAGTTGTGTCTTTGGGGGCAAAGACTTTGAATAAAGAAGGAATGAATGTAGCGGAACTGGACTAGGTCAGTTGTAGGCGACCAGCTGGTAGCTCAATTGGTAGAACATCCTTCTAGAGATCTGAGGGTCCCGGGTTCGAACCCCAGGCTGGCCATTGCATTTCTCTTTCTCCTGTTGCACACTGATGATATAATACACAGCAACATCTGGGGTGCTCATGTCATCCTATCTCATTACAAAAAGGTATGCTGTATCTACACAAATATTGATGATGTAATACACATTGCAACTGTGGTTGCTGGTATTTCTACAAAATGATTGATGATGTAATACAAAATCCCCATGTACTTAAAAGTTTCCTATTGACTGCAAATATAATCCTACTTTTTGCCTTGTAGTTGGACCTGCCCCCATTTGATCAGCTATTTGCAGAGATAGCACCTGGTCATGTCAAGAACATTCAGAAAAGCTTTGTAAGTCTCATGTAAGGCTGTACGCTACTTTACTAAGACACATGTGTATTTCCATTGAAAGGAGTTCCATTTAAGGAGGCTCTGCGGACAGTATTTTCTTAGTTGTATATGGTTCTTCTTCCAAAATCTTTTCATGAATATTTCATATGATATTTGGTTGTAGTAATGTAGCTTAGACTATTACAGTATATAGTTGTATATATGTAAAAGTCAAAAACACATATTTATGACTATTATACAGTATTTATGTTATCTTATTAAATATATTAAAGCCAGTGTATGGTCAGTGTTAAGATGGTGTATAACCAATATAAATATTTTTAGTTTGTATTAATAGAGATAATCGAGTACACTAGGGAAAAATTGCTGCCAGAAGTGATCTAAAATTGGATTGAAAAGCTATTTCGGGATTTGTTCCATTCATGCAAATTACAGAAAATGTTTAGAAATGTTTCAGACAATAATCTGTCTGCAGACTAGTACATGAAACTGACTTTAAACTTATACATAAAACTGACATTACACTATTGTCAGACTGACAACAAATTGGTGTCACATGCACTAACGACACATTAAGGTAATAGGTTTGTGTCACCATTTCTCAGTAGAATTTCTTCATATTCTATAGTTATATTGCTTTGAAGTAAAGAAAATTTTCTGCCACAAAAAAATAAATATAGATTGTCAGAATTTTAAGGATTTTAAATGGAAATTTATGTAAAACGGAATGATTTTTTTTTTTTCAAAATAATATCAATAGAAATGATACTGCCATAGATTAGTATTGCATTAATGTATATCAATTTAATAAATGCTGAAATTGTTTAAAATAAATGATTTGTAAATGATCAAAAATTGATAATTTATAATAAAACCATATACACATAGTAATTGCATGTAAGAGTTATCTTTCTTGAAAAACTTCACAGTAGTGAAATAGGTAGCCAGTTTCCTGAAGTACAGAAAAATGGACACATGTGACTCATTGATAAAAAAACAGCTGAATTGATGCCTGGATTTCTTTAAAATACTTTAATAATGAGAGAACACACTGTTCTGTCGAAAATAAACAAACAATTCTAGACTCATTAGAATATGCAGAAATTGTGATACTGTCTCCCTACATTGGATTTTCAACTAGGGATGTACTTCCTATTTCCATTTATCAATACACTTATTCAACCTTAAGTTTAGTCTGACAGCACTACGATTACAAAAATGGCAATGATGTTTGTTTCCATAAGGGGACACATATCTATGTTCTGCAAGTATACAGTTTCATGTTAGGAGAGATAAACACTGGCATTTATACTTTTACTGACATTGACAATAATTCATGGTTTTCTAGTTGTCTTATGGGGCTCAAAATATCCTGAGAATGGCTGCAATCAACATGGCATTTTCTCTTGGAGAAGGCCTCAGTGTAGAATCCCTGAAAAAGAATCCGCCTAATTCTGGGGTAAGTATGGATGTCAAAGGAATTATTTTGAACGTTGTAGGAATGAAAGGCTTAATTTTTATTGTCATGCCTGACAAAAGTATAAATCATTGTAGCTTACAGACAATTAATACAGACATATTTCTAGTAAAGCTTTCCATAACATGCTTCATAAAGTATATGTATTGATCACAACACTTTGTACTGCCATACATTTAAGCAAATTTAAATAAATTAGTGGAAAAAAATGAATATGCTTAATTATAGAAAAACTTAGACGAAGGCTTAATTTCTCAAGCCATCGAAAGTAAAACCATCAAGACCTGCTTTATATTTAATTTGTTTTAATTTACATGCATAGAATAACAAAACAATATAAATTCTTTAAAAACAGTGAAATAAAGAGAGTTGATTTTAGTGTTTTGAACACGACTTAACTCTTTACCAAGGGGGAGAGGTGTGTGGGCGGGTGGGGGGTTGAATTCAAATTACCATTATGGTAATTGATCTTACTTTATATCGCACTATGCTTCAAAATACATGTAACATGCTTTTGGTGACACATCAAGGTGTACTTCTTTGTCTTAAAGCATTCACCAAGGTCACATTGAAGATTATGTGTAATACATATATACTGTATATAGTTTCTAGGTAGGTTTATTATGTAGATACATAAATAGTCCTGAGGGAATGAAATATTTGAAACTGGAGAAAAAAAATATCTAACTAACATCAATAAATCTTTCTATATAATCATATGTGGATTTCTTTTTTTTTTCTCTCTCTCCTATAGACAGTGAGTAGCATGGTCAGGGGCCATATTAGAACCAGTGGTCTATTAATTAAAAACAGCTCCTTCCTCTGCCCTGGACATGTAGCTTGTCTGGAACCTGATGCAACCCAGTCAGAATTTCAGACAGACCATTTGCAAGGATACAAACCCTTCATCAGCCACATTCGGAAAACAAACAACCACCTGGAAACCATCAAGAAAACTGCTTTTGAAGATCTCCCAAATTTATGTGTATTTTCCCTTCAAAACAACTTCATTGAAGTTGTACCAGACACAGTAGTTAAATGTAAGTTCCTGACAGTGCTGTCTTTGGCGCAGAATAATCTGCTGGATCTGCCTTCTGCGTTTTACTCCTGTACAGCACTGACTGATTTAGACATCAGTAGAAACAGAATGGAGAAGCTGCCTACTGCTATTACCTCCATGAGCAATCTCAGGATTCTACATGCAAACAACTTGCTGTTCAAGGTGTTACCAGATAATATCGGAAACTTGTCTAAGTTGAAGGAACTGAGCTTGAATGGGAACTGTCTACAATCTCTTCCAAAGAGCTTCAAGAATCTGAAAAGTCTGACCCATCTATCCTTGGCAGGGATCACATGGTTCGACAATAGAACCAACCTGCTTCTGTCTGAGGAGAACTTTGTGACATTTCTTGAGAAAGAAGGAGGGATCAGGAGATGGATAGATGCCAATCCAGAGGTGTGTAGAAATGGAGTATATATATATATGTTGTTATGGGGCAAGGAAGTAATTCCAACAGTGTGGACAAGTTTAGGTTGTCAAATTTTCGGAGCGATCCAAAATTTGACAACCTAAACTTGTCCACACTGTTGGAATTACTTCCTTGCCCCATATAATATTTTAAGTAATTCGTATCCTACGGACATACCTCCATTTGGATCCAGTGTTATATGGGATTTTACCGTCTTTATTACTTCTTTGACCCATATATATATGTTGTTAGGTACTGTTAACATACATTTGGGAGCAAACTTAACTTGGTATCTAGTGCACTTCATAGTGCACACGTGGTGAACAAGGAAGTGCACTTGACAAAACATTGAAGTGCACTCCAGTTTACTTCAGTGTTAACTCCAGTGCACTACGATGTTAACTCCAGTGCACAACGATGTGAACTCAAGTGCACTACAGAGTTTACCAAAGTTTAAAAGACTAAAGTACATATTTCAATAATTGTTTTTAATGAAATCACTTTTGTGAAATCAAAACTGTAGCAAATATATATGCTGAACTTTTATGAGATGGCTGTAATACAATAGATGGTTATACCCTTTATGATAGGATATGTATTGTGTTAGGTTTATATCTGTCTATAGATATGTATTGTCTTAGGTTTATATCTGTCTATAGACATGTATTGTCTTAGGTTTATATCTGTCTATAGATATGTATTGACTTAGGTTTATATCTGTCTATAGATATGTATTGTCTTAGGTTTATATCTGTCTATAGATATGTATTGTCTTAGGTTTATATCTGTCTATAGATATGTATTGTCTTAGGTTTATATCTGTCTATAGATATGTATTGTCTTAGGTTTATATCTGTCTATAGATATGTATTGTCTTAGGTTTATATCTGTCTATAGATATGTATTGTCTTAGGTTTATATCTGTCTATAGATATGTATTGTCTTAGGTTTATATCTGTCTATAGATATGTATTGTCTTAGGTTTATATCTGTCTATAGATATGTATTGTCTTAGGTTTATATCTGTCTATAGATATGTATTGTCTTAGGTTTATATCTGTCTATAGATATGTATTGTCTTAGGTTTATATCTGTCTATAGATATGTATTGTCTTAGGTTTATATCTGTCTATAGATATGTATTGTCTTAGGTTTATATCTGTCTATAGATATGTATTGTCTTAGGTTTATATCTGTCTATAGATATGTATTGTCTTAGGTTTATATCTGTCTATAGATATGTATTGTCTTAGGTTTATATCTGTCTATAGATATGTATTGTCTTAGGTTTATATCTGTCTATAGATATGTATTGTCTTAGGTTTATATCTGTCTATAGATATGTATTGTCTTAGGTTTATATCTGTCTATAGATATGTATTGTCTTAGGTTTATATCTGTCTATAGATATGTATTGTCTTAGGTTTATATCTGTCTATAGATATGTATTGTCTTAGGTTTATATCTGTCTATAGATATGTATTGTCTTAGGTTTATATCTGTCTATAGATATGTATTGTCTTAGGTTTATATCTGTCTATAGATATGTATTGTCTTAGGTTTATATCTGTCTATAGATATGTATTGTCTTAGGTTTATATCTGTCTATAGATATGTATTGTCTTAGGTTTATATCTGTCTATAGATATGTATTGTCTTAGGTTTATATCTGTCTATAGATATGTATTGTCTTAGGTTTATATCTGTCTATAGATATGTATTGTCTTAGGTTTATATCTGTCTATAGATATGTATTGTCTTAGGTTTATATCTGTCTATAGATATGTATTGTCTTAGGTTTATATCTGTCTATAGATATGTATTGTCTTAGGTTTATATCTGTCTATAGATATGTATTGTCTTAGGTTTATATCTGTCTATAGATATGTATTGTCTTAGGTTTATATCTGTCTATAGATATGTATTGTCTTAGGTTTATATCTGTCTATAGATATGTATTGTCTTAGGTTTATATCTGTCTATAGATATGTATTGTCTTAGGTTTATATCTGTCTATAGATATGTATTGTCTTAGGTTTATATCTGTCTATAGATATGTATTGTCTTAGGTTTATATCTGTCTATAGATATGTATTGTCTTAGGTTTATATCTGTCTATAGATATGTATTGTCTTAGGTTTATATCTGTCTATAGATATGTATTGTCTTAGGTTTATATCTGTCTATAGATATGTATTGTCTTAGGTTTATATCTGTCTATAGATATGTATTGTCTTAGGTTTATATCTGTCTATAGATATGTATTGTCTTAGGTTTATATCTGTCTATAGATATGTATTGTCTTAGGTTTATATCTGTCTATAGATATGTATTGTCTTAGGTTTATATCTGTCTATAGATATGTATTGTCTTAGGTTTATATCTGTCTATAGATATGTATTGTCTTAGGTTTATATCTGTCTATAGATATGTATTGTCTTAGGTTTATATCTGTCTATAGATATGTATTGTCTTAGGTTTATATCTGTCTATAGATATGTATTGTCTTAGGTTTATATCTGTCTATAGATATGTATTGTCTTAGGTTTATATCTGTCTATAGATATGTATTGTCTTAGGTTTATATCTGTCTATAGATATGTATTGTCTTAGGTTTATATCTGTCTATAGATATGTATTGTCTTAGGTTTATATCTGTCTATAGATATGTATTGTCTTAGGTTTATATCTGTCTATAGATATGTATTGTCTTAGGTTTATATCTGTCTATAGATATGTATTGTCTTAGGTTTATATCTGTCTATAGATATGTATTGTCTTAGGTTTATATCTGTCTATAGATATGTATTGTCTTAGGTTTATATCTGTCTATAGATATGTATTGTCTTAGGTTTATATCTGTCTATAGATATGTATTGTCTTAGGTTTATATCTGTCTATAGATATGTATTGTCTTAGGTTTATATCTGTCTATAGATATGTATTGTCTTAGGTTTATATCTGTCTATAGATATGTATTGTCTTAGGTTTATATCTGTCTATAGATATGTATTGTCTTAGGTTTATATCTGTCTATAGATATGTATTGTCTTAGGTTTATATCTGTCTATAGATATGTATTGTCTTAGGTTTATATCTGTCTATAGATATGTATTGTCTTAGGTTTATATCTGTCTATAGATATGTATTGTCTTAGGTTTATATCTGTCTATAGATATGTATTGTCTTAGGTTTATATCTGTCTATAGATATGTATTGTCTTAGGTTTATATCTGTCTATAGATATGTATTGTCTTAGGTTTATATCTGTCTATAGATATGTATTGTCTTAGGTTTATATCTGTCTATAGATATGTATTGTCTTAGGTTTATATCTGTCTATAGATATGTATTGTCTTAGGTTTATATCTGTCTATAGATATGTATTGTCTTAGGTTTATATCTGTCTATAGATATGTATTGTCTTAGGTTTATATCTGTCTATAGATATGTATTGTCTTAGGTTTATATCTGTCTATAGATATGTATTGTCTTAGGTTTATATCTGTCTATAGATATGTATTGTCTTAGGTTTATATCTGTCTATAGATATGTATTGTCTTAGGTTTATATCTGTCTATAGATATGTATTGTCTTAGGTTTATATCTGTCTATAGATATGTATTGTCTTAGGTTTATATCTGTCTATAGATATGTATTGTCTTAGGTTTATATCTGTCTATAGATATGTATTGTCTTAGGTTTATATCTGTCTATAGATATGTATTGTCTTAGGTTTATATCTGTCTATAGATATGTATTGTCTTAGGTTTATATCTGTCTATAGATATGTATTGTCTTAGGTTTATATCTGTCTATAGATATGTATTGTCTTAGGTTTATATCTGTCTATAGATATGTATTGTCTTAGGTTTATATCTGTCTATAGATATGTATTGTCTTAGGTTTATATCTGTCTATAGATATGTATTGTCTTAGGTTTATATCTGTCTATAGATATGTATTGTCTTAGGTTTATATCTGTCTATAGATATGTATTGTCTTAGGTTTATATCTGTCTATAGATATGTATTGTCTTAGGTTTATATCTGTCTATAGATATGTATTGTCTTAGGTTTATATCTGTCTATAGATATGTATTGTCTTAGGTTTATATCTGTCTATAGATATGTATTGTCTTAGGTTTATATCTGTCTATAGATATGTATTGTCTTAGGTTTATATCTGTCTATAGATATGTATTGTCTTAGGTTTATATCTGTCTATAGATATGTATTGTCTTAGGTTTATATCTGTCTATAGACATGTATTGTCTTAGGTTTACATCTGTGTATAGATATGTATTGTCTTAGGTTTATATCTGTCTATAGACATGTTTTGTCTGTATCATAGCTCTTATCCAATAAAACCCATTAAACATGTATGTACCGTTAGTAGGTATCTTGACGTACAATGTTTTTGGAGTGGCCATTTGAAGGTAAAGGTGACAAATTTAATCAATGGACAATTTTTTTCTATCTTGAACATAATATCTTCATTACCAGAATTATTTGAATATTTTAATGATATTTTATAATTGTTTTTGAGTGGTACTAATTAAGTGCAAGAAACAATTCATACTAGATGTTTAATTGGTTTTCTAGCATAACACTTTTTGTACTAAGGGAATTCCCTGTCACTATAATTTAAGTAGCATAATCGTAAATGATATTGGTTCAGAAGTAGCAGCAGGTTTTATGTTGTTTCCCAGGTAATGGATGAGGAGGATATGTTCAAACTGTTTGACCTAGATAGCAGTGGTACTCTTGACACACACGAGATTGCCAAGGTAAATGCCAGCCTGTTCTCAATCTTCCCAAGGTTTGGCTACAATGGAACAGATCCCCCAGGTATGGTATACACAGAACACAATTATTACTTAATGCAGATATACTCACAACTCTAAAAAAAAAAAAATAGTCAAAACTTTTTCCATATTTGTTTTATGATTTGTGAGTATATATATATAGTGGTTGAAACACTGCATGGGCAGCTTCTGTAAACAGTCAGGGTTCTGTTCTATGTTATCAAGATCTTCTCTTGTCGATTATAGAGCTCTTTGGAGTTCATTGCCAGAAAATCATGTTGAGTTAGGTGAAATTGTAGGTATTGAAGTTGGAGTAAGCTATAGCCACTGAAGGGCATCACTTACTTCAGACGATCTGAAGGTAGGCTTTGGCCACTACAGAGGACACATAGTTAGGCTACAGTTGCTAGAGGGCAACACTTACTTCAGACGATAGAAAGGTAGGCTATGGCCACTAAAAGGACACAGAGTTAGGCTACAGTTGCTTGAGGAAATCACTTCATGCATAGTTATAAGAACAGGCTATAGCCACTACAGAGGACACAGAGCTGGGCTAATGTTGCTAGAGGGCGTCACTTACTTCAAATGATAGGAAGGTAGGCTATAGCGACTACAGAGGACACAGAGCTGGGCTAATGTTGCTAGAGGGCATCATTTACTTCAGACGATAGGAAGGGAGTCTATGTTATCAAGATCTTCTCTTGTCGATTATAGAGCTCTTTGGAGTTTATTACCAGAAAATCATGTTGAGTTAGGAGAAATTGTAGGTATTGAAGTTGGAGTAAGCTAGAGCCACTGAAGGGCATCATTTACTTCAGACGATAGGAAGGGAGTCTATGTTATCAAGATCTTCTCTTGTCGATTATAGAGCTCTTTGGAGTTTATTACCAGAAAATCATGTTGAGTTAGGAGAAATTGTAGGTATTGAAGTTGGAGTAAGCTATAGCCACTGAAGGGCATGACTTACTTCAGACGATCGGAAGGTAGGCTTTGGCCACTATAGAGGACACAGAGTTAGGCTATAGTTGCTAGAGGGCATCTCTTTCTTCAGACGATAGGAAGGGAGTCTATGTTATCAAGATCTTCTCTTGTCGATTATAGAGCTCTTTGGAGTTCATTGCCAGAAAATCATGTTGAGTTAGGTGAAATTGTAGATATTGAAGTTGGAGTAAGCTATAGCCACTGAAGGGCATGACTTACTTCAGACTATAGGAAGGTAGGCTATGGCCTCTACAGAGGCCACAGAGTTAGGCTACAGTTGCTTGAGGGCATCACTTACGTCAGCCGATAGGAAGGTAGGCTATAGCCACCACAGAGGACACAGAGTTAAGCTAAAGTTGCTAGAGGGCATCTCTTTCTTCAGACGATAGGAAGGGAGTCTATGTTATCAAGATCTTCTCTTGTCGATTATAGAGCTCTTTGGAGTTCATTGCCAGAAAATCATGTTGAGTTAGGTGAAATTGTAGATATTGAAGTTGGAGTAAGCTATAGCCACTGAAGGGCTTCACTTACTTCAGACGATAGGAAGTTAGGCTATGGCCGCTACAGAGGTCACAGAGTTAGGCCAATGTTGCTAGAGGGCATCATTTACTTCAGACGATAGGAAGGTAGGCGAGAGCCACTACAGAGGACACATAGTTAGGCTACAGTTGCTCGAGGGCATCACTTACTTGAGATGATAGGAAGGTAGGCTAGGGCCACTACAGAGGACACATAGTTAGGCTACAGTTGCTTGAGAGCATCACTTACTTCAGATGATAGGAAGTTAGGCTATGGCCGCTACAGAGGTCACAGAGTTAGGCTACAGTTGCTAGTGGGCATCACTTACTTCAAATGATAGGAAGGTAGGCTGTGGCCACTACAGAGGACTCAGAGTTAGGCTACAGTTGCTCGAGGGCATCACTTACTTCAAATGATAGGAAGGTAGGCTGTGGCCACTACAGAGGACTCAGAGTTAGGCTACAGTTGCTAGTGGGCATCACGTACTTCAGATGATAGGAACGTAGGCTATGGCCACTAAAAGGACACAGAGTTAGGCTACTGTTGCTATAGGGCAGTACTTACTTCAGATGATAGGGAGGTAGGCTATGGCCACTAAAAGGACACAGAGTTAGGCTACAGTTGCTAGAGGGCATCACTTACTTCAGAGGGGCGAAAGTCTCTCTTTGTGGACAATGTCAATTTTTATAACATAATAATACTAATACAATTAACATTTGCAAAAACTCACGAAAAGATGTGAACATCAGTCAAACCTTATGATTCAGGATCGCTGTTGCTTTGAAAATCTTAGATCAGCACTGGCTTCATTTTCCTTCTGACTTTGATGGAACTTCAAATAAAACACTTGGAACACAAATACTGAGAATGAATTAAGAGTTCTGGGGTACTGGCCTCAAAGTTGGTTGGGGAAGGAGTAATGTTGGTAGGGATATTTATGCCTCTTGTTTTATTCGTTTTTCTGTTTTTCATGTAGATGCCACATCCTTACCATTCGGTGGGTTCCCTGAGGAGATACTAGCACTGAAGACTTTGGTAAGCCTGGATCTCAGTTACCAAGGACTTGTATCAATACCTGATGACATCTCCAAGCTCTCTAAGTTAGAGAAGCTGAACCTGAACTGTAATCCAAATTTATTGTCTTTATCTGCCCAGACTGGACTTTGTCCTCTAAAAGGTATGTTATACTGTGATGGTACAATGACACAACTCTGTTAATTTCTGGACGTTCTGTAGTTAATTCATACACAGTGTACGTGACCAGTACTACTTTGAGTGGAAAATCACATATTTCTTCATTAATTTGATTTTAAAGTTAGATCCCCTACCAAACTATTCAACCTCCCACCCACACACCTACCACAACTACCTGATCAGGAAATTACTGACCCCACACTGAATGGGTGGTTAATGATGTTCTCTTAAAGGAAAATAATGTATTCCTTCCCAGAAATGCTTCCTTGAATGGAAAACTTTGCTGTCAAATAATTCCTTTTGCTTATTATGTCTCCCCTTAGAATGAAGGGAGACATATTGTATTAGTACTGGTTCTTCTTCTTCTTCTTCTTTTGGTTCTTGTTCTTCTGGTTCTTCTTATCGTAACTTGTTCGGGCCATAACTTTTAAACCGTCACTGTGACCTCCATCTCAAGGTCAAAGGTCAAATAAGTGCAACATTTTCAGTAAATTCTTGTCTGGCCCATACATTTTAAACCGTTAAAGATATCATCATCAAACTTGAAGTATACTTGCATCACCAACAGAAGGTCTGCAGAGCAGTGAAATAAGGTATCGTGCTTCACTTAAAGGGACATCACGTGAAAAGGCGTTTTTTTTTAAATGAATGTGTTACCTCGCTATCCCCATATTCATAGTCCGTTCCAAATGTTCAGTTTGACCACTTGAATTGTTCGGGAAAGCCCTGCTAAAAATAGCGCCGATAACGTCACCTGACTAGGCAGTAAACACAAGTGGTGCGAGCGAGATGAAACGGTTTCCAAAGGGGCCCCCAGAGAGGGGCCGTCAGGCAACTGCAACTTCTTACCGCACTATGAAATCAGAGACGTATAATACATATACGTCTCTGATGAAATCAAGTTATATGATTTCTAAGTCCGTATTAAAACTTATTGAACAGTAATTATTCATCATTAGAAGTTAATTACACACTTGCCAATGTTCAGAATTCAAATTTATTTAGCTTTAAACATAAATTTGTTGCCAATAGAATTAAACAAGGGATGGGGCACAAGTTTTTACAATTTATCACAGCCTTCTCCCGTCATACATTTACAATTAAATGTCAACAATGATAATAGGCATAAACATAAAGTAGATATATTTAAATATATATTGAATTTAGTACCGAAATGTGGCCGTTACAGATGGTACGGGGCTAAACACCTTCCCTACACCAAGGGACAAACCTTTCTGATTTTTTTTTATATATATTGCCGGGGCAGAGGAGGCCGGGTATTCATATTAGTACTAATTTAAATCTTGCATGTAAAAACAAAAATAATCGTTTAATTCAGCAATATAATTAAATCATACCATTTTATTGAACCCGGTAATATTATAAATTATGTAAATACACGGACTTGGATAACACGTATCTCGCTGACCCAGAAAATACGCCGTGGGCCATCACAACAGTTATCCCTTGGAGGGCCCCATGGCAAAATCAAACTAACCAGTCACTTATCCCTTCCTTTCGCATAAACCACTGTATAATTATAGAAACACAAAGTAAACTCTCTCCAATACATGCCCATTAACATATTAAACTAAGTTCATCTGTGTTCAAACTCAGACAAAGATACTAGCGTGCTTAATAGTTTTAAATATTTATTCATAACATAAACAGCGCTAGCATTTCTGTCGATTCCATTCCAGCTTAACCGGCTATCCGGAAGAATACATGCACCGTACTAACTGCTACGGCAGTTATTTTCTTCTTTGAATACTGACCACCTGCTATAATGATTCCGCAACGTACTCCTTGCGCTATCTTTTGACCATTTGGCAACTTTTCGTTTCGTAGCTGACACGGTACAACACTTTTCTTTCGCTTACTTCACACGGCCAGTCATTTTGTTTACAAAGAAATGGTGTGCTATGCGCATGCGCTAGTAGAGGGAAATCCCTGAACAAAACGTTGGTCAGACAGGTAGAAATACCGATGATTTTCTTAGATTTAATCATTTTTATGAATCTATTTCAGCCAAATCCGATCGCTATTTTCCATAAGGAGTCTCACTTGATATATTTATGTAGTATTTGAAAAAAAGACAAAAAATAAAGTTACTTCACCGTGATGCCCCTTTAATACAGAGTTATTGCCCTTTATTCACTTTAAATACCGAAGTTGGTCCGGAGCATAAGTTCCATGTTATTTCACCTACATTAACCAAACAACCAAACTTACCATATTTATGTATCTTGGTAAGGCGGAATCTCTAGCAATGAAATTGAGTTTTGTGCCCCACTATATACCCCTTTGCTTATTTTAATACCAAAGTTTGTCCACTGCATAACTTCTAAACAGTTTAAGATATCTCAATCAAACTTGAAGTATACCTGCATCACCCACAGAAGGTGTGCAATGCATTGGAATTAGGTATCGTGCCCTAAATTATACAGAGTTATTGCCCTTTGTTTATTTTTAATACAGAATTTTTTCCGGAGCATAAGCTCCATGTTATTTCACCTATGTTGACCAAACTTACTATATTTATGTATCTTGGAAAGGTGGAATCTCTCGCAATGAAATTGAGTCTTGTGCATCACTTTATATAGAACTATGGCCTTTTTTTAATTTTAATACCAAAGTTTGTCCACTGCATATCTTCCATGATATTTCACCTACGTTGACCAAACTTGCTATAGTTATTTATCTTGGGAAGTAGGAGTGTCACATTTAATATTCGGGTCTCGTGTCCCACTATATAAAGAGATATGGCCATTTGTTAATTTTTATACTGAAGTTTGTCTGTTGGCAAATAAGGGGAGACATATGTTTTTGTTCACAAAAAACAGTTTCTTGTTCTCATTATAAATGTACAACTACTGATTTCCTCCAAGATTTTGTCAATGCTCAGGTTTCTTTACCAGGTGGACCATTTACAAACCTTCAGTGTTTTCTTTTAATCCTACAATTCAGACTTTTCAAATTTATATTTCGTCAGATTTGGATCTTTATGACTGTCCAGTTCTAAAGACTCCCCCCAAGGAGATCAGAGATCGTGGGTTTAGGACGACATATGCCTACCTCAAGCGTCTGGTGACAGGATCAGTGGACTGTAAACGAACCAAACTGATGTTGGTTGGTCTAGGAGGATCTGGTAAAACCAGGTACATGTTCTAAACCAACTTTTCATTTCGTTTAAATATAATTGGGTTCCAAAAATATTCATTGCTCCCCCCCATAATTAGAAATTTGGAGCTGGAGTGGGTCTACCTCAGCTACACATGGGGCTCAGTCGGAGTATCCATCCAGAGCTGGAAGGTTCTCTGCTGGAGTATCCATCCAGAGCTGGGAGGTTCTCAGTTGGAGTATCCATCCAGAGCTGGAAGAATCTCTGTTGGAGTATCCATCCAGATCTGGGAGGTTCTGAGTTGGAGTATCCATCCAGAGCTGGGAGGTTCTGATCGAATCCTGGCCTGACAGGTTCATGTTCACCATTCTGTAACATTTTACTAAGCATACCAAAGTATAGCTAATTATACTATGAATGAGTTGATTGGACTCATTTCATTCCAGTCTTGTAACTGTTGACAAAATCATGTTAAATATTCAAAATATTCACCATATATAATGATTTGTGTTTTTATATTTTTCAATTGTAGTTTGGTGAAATCTTTGATGTCTACGAATAAGAAATCTAACCTGACTGGTGCTGATGCAATCACTGACGGTTAGTAAATGTTCTTGGTAAATGAGAAAAAAAATCATCCTCACTTTAAGATGGTCTTTTCCATCACCTGATCAGCTCATGCAGTGTCAGCGAAGATAATGACCATGTCATGTCATCTTGAGGAGTGTTATCACGTCAGCAAATAGTTTTTATGACTGCTCAAAGGGTTTTCATTACATCTCAAAGGATTTTCATGACTTCTTCAATGATTTTTTAACAGGTCAAAGGATTTCATGACATCATAGATGATTTTTTAACAGCTCAAAGGATTTTATGACATCTTAGATGATTTTTTTTAACAGCTCAAAGGATTTCATGACATCATAGATGATTTTTTAACAGCTCAACGGATTTCATGACATCTAAGATGATGTTTTAACAGGTCAAAGGATTTCATGACATCTAAGATGATTTTTTAACAGCTCAAAGGATTTCATGACATCTAAGATGATGTTTTAACAGCTCAAAGGATTTCATGACATCTAAAATGATTTTTTAACAGCTCAAAGGATATCATGATATCTAAGATGATTTTTTAACAGCTCAAAGGATTTCATGACATCTAAGATGATGTTTTAACAGCTTAAAGGATTTCATGACATCTTAGATGTATTTTTCTAACAGCTCAAAGGATTTCATGACATCTTAGATGAATTTTTAACAGCTCAAAGGATTTTCATGACAAATCAGGGACATTTCATGACAGCTCCGCAGATTTTCATAGCAGCTACTGCTAGCCAAGAGGACTTGCCGTCCATTTTCGTTATGTGGTGGTTTTTGGTATTCCATTTCAATTAAAATTTTCAGAACAAAATATTGAACAGAACAAGTTGAGTTTGAATCTCTTATGATGAAATCAAAATTAATTGTTTGGAGGTATGCTGTTATAAAGAGTATACAATGTGATGTGATTATGTAATTAAACGTTTTTAACTTTGTACAGGCATTGACATCTGTACCTGGGATGTGAATCAAAAAGGACAGAAAATATCCTACAGTGTTTGGGACTTTGCCGGCCAGACAGTCTACTACAACACACATCAGGTAATGGTTGCCAGGGGCCAAATTTAGTGGGTATCTCATGATCATAAGGTATAACAGCACTGACAAAACACATCAGGTATTGGTAATGGTTGTCACGGGTAAGATTTAGGGGGTATCTCATAGGGTTATACAGCACTGACAAAACACATCAGGTATTGGTAATGGTTGTCACAGGTAAGAATTAGGGGGTATCTCATAGGGTTATACAGCACTGACAAAACACATCAGCTTATGGTTGTCACGGGTAAGATTTAGGGGGTATCTCATAGGGTTAGCACTGACGAAACACATCAGGTAATGGTTGTCACGGGCAAGGTTTGGGGTACATCTCAAAGGGTATTACAACACTCCATCCAACACACATCAGTTAATGGTTGTCATGGGCAAGGTTTGGGGTACATCTCAAAGGGTATTACAACACTCTATCCAACACACATCAGTTAATGTCTGGTACTGGCCAGAATTAGGGGCAACTCATATCTCAATACACATCAGTCCTGGCTGTCAAACTAGAGGGATGTCTTATCTGATATATAACTAGAAGGATATGTATAGGCTGTGAAATGTTATCAGATATTTATTTTATGAATGTAAATACAGTGTATTACTGTCTCAAAACATACACCATATGTGTTCTCTTTGGCTGCTTACAGTTTTTCCTGTCAGACCGAGCTGTGTATCTGCTGCTTTGGAATATAAGACTTGGACATGAACATGCTGGGCTGAACTTCTGGCTCAACTCAATCACAGTACACGCCCCTAAGGCCCCCATCTTTGTGGTGGGAACCCACACTGACCAGGTGAGGTATAGATACTGACCATCACGCTACATGCCCCTAAGGCCTCCATCTTTGTGGTGGGCACCCACACTGACCAGGTGAAGTATAGATACTGACCATCACACTACATGTCCCTAAGGCCCCCATCAAAGTGGTGGGCACCCACAGTGACCAGGTGTGGTATAGATAATGAACATCACACTACATGTCCCTAAGGCCCCCATCAAAGTGGTGGGCACCCACACTGACCAGGTGAGGTATAGATACTGCCCATCAAACTACATGCCCCTAAGGCCCCCATCTTTGTGGTGGGCACCCACACTGACCAGGTGAGGTATAGATACTGACCGTCACACTACATGCCCCTAAGGCTTCCATCTTTGTGATGAGCACCCACAGATTGATTGATTGATTGATAGGTTTTACCTCAGCTTCACTACCAAGTAGATCGGTTATCCAGCAGACGAAGAAAAGAAAGGAAAATGAGTAGAAGGGATAAAGTATGGAGTAAAGAGTAGAAGAGGGGGGTAGGTTAGAGAATGAGCCGTTCATCCTATATATATTTACTGTATAAGTCTTAGTTTTTGTAAGACGGCTCCCATGCCTAATAATGCCTTAACCTAACACTCGTGGTATAGTATCACCAAGTCTGGACCAGAAGTGAGGTACTGTCCCGCCGCCAGCTACATCAGCCCCTGCCTGTTCTATGAATTTTGGCTTGTATATATAATTTGAAGTCCTTCTAAATGTCTTAATAAAGAGACCCTAGTTCTAACCGCCAAAAATTTGGAATAAAGCTTACACTATTCTCTGTGTCAGCATTTACGCGCCTACTCCTTTTCGAAACACTCAGAGGGATCTTTTTCGTGCGAGATTGGACAGTTCTCACATGGGCCACTATTTATAGTCCCATCCGACGGACTGTATGTTAGTGGTTAGTGGTTAGAGTCCTGCATGTGCTGTTGGGGCACCCAAACTGACCAGGGCAGTTTTATACACATCACAGAACACACCCTTTATGCTTCCATCTTTGTTGTGAAAATCAACTCACACTGACCAATTGATTTGAGGACATGGCCCATAACAATATTTCTTCTCAGGCCTGCATGCGCTCTAAAACACTGACAATTGGGTCAAATAAAAAGTGTATTGCCTGTGGAACTGACAAAATAGGGTTAGGGTAACCTTGACCTTCACATCTAGTTCAAAGGTCAAATGATCGAGTGTAAAGCAAATATGCATTTATGACAGTTTTTGTTCACGAAAACAAATAACTGGTTAGATTTTACCTCACAGTGTATATTATGCTAATAATCAGGTCTTTGCCATTGTGATTTGTGGCACACATAATATTTGAAGGTTACTGACATTGACATTTGACCTCTAAATGTATGTTTTCATGTATCTAGAGTGTTGAAGATCTTATCTTTGGCTTTTTCAGATGACAAAGATAGAACTTCCTATGGATGAAATGAAGAGCAAATATCATCAAATAGAGGGATTCTATTTTGTTAGCTCTAAAGATGGAAAAGTAAGTAATAGATCTAGTACATCACACTAAGTTATCACCAGACAGAGGGATTCCACTTTGTTAGCTCCAAAGATGGAAAAGTAAGTAATAGCTCTAGTACATCACACAGTTATCACCAGATAGAGGGTTTCCACATTGTCAGCTCCAAAGATGGAAAGTAAGTAATAGGTCTAGTACATCACACACAGTTATCACCAGATAGAGGGATTCTATTTTGTTAGTTCCAAAGATGGAAAAGTAAGTAATAGATCTAGTACATCAAATAAAATTATCACCAGATAGAGGGTTTCCACATTGTCAACTCCAAAGATGGAAAAGCGAGTAATAGATCTAGTACATCACACACAGTTATCACCAGATAGAGGGTTTCCACATTGTTAGCTATAAAGATGGAAAAGTAAGTAATAGATCTAGTACATCAAATAAAGTTATCACCAGATAGAGGGTTTCCACATTGTCGGCTCCAAAGATGGAAATGTTAGTTATAGATCTAGTTCATCACACACAGTTATCACCAGATAGAGGGGTTCCATATTTTCAGCTCCAAAGATGGAAATGTTAGTTATAGATCTAGATCATCAAACACAGTTATCACCAGATAGAGGGTGTCCACATTGTCAGCTCCAAAGATGGAAATGTTAGTTATAGATCTAGTGAAGGAATTCTGCTTTGCTAGCTACAAAGATATAAAATACCAGGAAACACATCATTTATAACACATATACTTTCACTCATTAAAAGAATTCTACTAACTGCCTGCATGACCTTATAAGTCATTCCTCAGTGTTATTAAACTTAGATATGTACTTCCCCAGGGTATCCCAGAGCTGAAGGAGGCATTGTTCAAGGCAACTCTACAACAGGAATATATGGGTGAGAAGATTCCTCATGCATGGCTTCAACTGGAAAAAGCTCTCACTGAGTAAGACTCTCTAGAATATTAGAAATTTTGTTTATTATCAATTTTAAATGATGTTTTCTTTTTTTTATAATTAGAAAGAGGGAATAATAATTTTGGCTTTTTCTTTCAATTTGTTGGTCCTCTGCAACACTATATCTCATAGCCTATATATTGTATAACAAAATACATGTACATACACTGTATTACCTCCGTTAATTTGTAATAACTCTGTCATGTTGTATTGGATCATGCATATGAAATAATTTGTGTTTGATCAATTTATAATTCAATGTAAAACTTTTATTTTTTAACTACATATATTGTAATTTAAAAGCTTAAATTTATATGTATAACAGGATATCAATTTTACTAGTGACAGTCATCATTGTTTTTGAAAAAAAATGTTATGGTCATCTAATGTGCATAACCTGTGAATCTGTTTATTTCGACAGTCAGAGGGACAAGAAGAAAGTGTTGGATTTTAAGACAGTTGAGAGCACAGCTATCGATCTGGGCATTGTCGACTCCTCCGAGGTAATGATACGGTCCTATTCTCACAGTTGTGTGTACATGTACTTAAAAACCAAACCATATTCTATAACCAAAAATGTCAGAATAAAATTGAAGCAAATGTGCTTATAAACACAATTTCTAAGACCCAAGTCACACGCAAGTTCATGATTGTGTTTTTATTACAGGTCCTCAGGTGTTCATTTCACTGAATTGTTTATGTTTTCTTAAGTTTTGCCCTAAATTTTAAGTTTGAGAGTAGCCATTGACATAATACTCTAACAGAGCGCATGATTATTTAAATATAAATCACTGCCTCCGCTAGGGATCGAACCCGGTACCTCTGGATTACTAGTCTTACACTCAACCGATTGAGCTAAAGAGAAGTTCTCTATAGCCGAGCGATATATTGCAACTAGTATTTACCAGGGTTACAATACATCTGTTATATTTATGTGGTCAGTAAGACAATCCAGAACTAAATATAAATTTCTAAACAGATTAACCAAGCTATCCAGTTCCTACATGACCTTGGGATGATCCAGCATTTCTCCAACGAGTACCTGCGAGATCATGTGATCATTGAGCCACAGTGGATTGTAGACGTGATGGCGTGTGTCGTTTGTGTGGACCAGGCCGTCATCAAGGTAACCAATCACTGGACATTACACTGTATCATAATCGACACATCATTTTCAATAAATATTATATTGAGTGAATACAAAAAAATACAAAAACTTGAGTCTTAAAACTGTTACTTTAATAATAAACTGAGAAATTTGATTTGACAATTAATTTCCTTGAAAGAGGTAAGAGTGTTTCAGTGGAAATCGAGAGCTCATTTGTTTCAAGGTTACAGATGTGGGGTTTTAGTTAAGGTAGAGGACACTTAAAGGGGTAAAAAATCTAGTCAATGATTTTTTTTTAATTTCGCATATATTGTTCTTTGGGGTGTACCTAACAAAATATCAAAATTTGAGAATAGGTTTCCATGCTATTTTTAAAAATATTCTTTGAAAGTGTTACCCCCCTTTGAAGTCAGAAAATTTCATTTTTTTGCCCTTTTTAAGTCATTAAGGTACCCGCCAAAAAAATGCATATAATTTTTTTTTAAATCTATCTGAGAACAATATGATAAATGAATATTTTAAAATATTTTAGACACAACATTTATTTTATTTTTTTGTTTTTTTCAAAATGGCTACCTTTTTTTGCAATATGCCTGCAACTGGCTTTGAAAATATTTCGCAAAAAAAATGATTGTTAAGTCGAATAGAAAACAATTGTGTCAATGAATTCTTTTTTAAATTGGTATATAAAATAACTTATATCCATACTACAAATCATAAAGAAATAAAGATATGTTTCCATGGAAAACAAAAAGTTAGTGGTGTTAGAACGACACCCTGTCATACACCCTTTTATTCAGATTTCATGAAAAATGTCCAAATTTTTCACTTTTTTTTAACTCTTTTAACTAAAGGTGCAATTGATTCTTAAATTTGCATTGGTTTTGCAGCAGCCATGTTTTTGAAGGTTGCATCTGTTTTGAATATTCAAGAAGTTGGCATTTGACCTCAAAGCGAAATCATCATTTCATCATTTAATAATCCTTGATCAATATAGTCTCATCTTTCACAATAATCAGACATTAGATTTGGAAAGGATTTATATCTTATTTCAATCAACAATAATTATCAAAAACAACATTTATTTGACCTTGGTTTTTGACCATGCATCAAATGCTGGATGCAGCCAATCTTTCATGGTCCATTGACTTTGTCAGCATCTCCATCAACATTAAGTTTTTGCATTTAAGTTAGTTTCTTTGATATGTGCATTGATGGTCAAAGCGGGGCATACCGGTAGGCGACACATATCAATCTGAATGGCTTGTGTTTTAAAGGCACAGGTTCACATTTATTTTAGAAGAAATGTTTTCACATGTCAAGGTCACAGATATTTAATCAAATGTTTCAGAAGACATTGTGTTTCAAGGCCAAAGGTTTGAAGCACTAAAAAAGAGACAGTCTTTATTTTGTTTCAGAATGGTCAACTACAACATGCTGACATCAAAAAAATATGGAAAGACTACCAAACAATGGCAGACTGGCTGCTGAGGCTGACTGAGGAGTTTGACTTGACATTTCAGTTGGAGGGAAAGAAGTGTAACATTGTACCATGTCTCCTTCCAGAGAAACAGCCAGAGGTAAGTGTCACATGACAGTGTAGGTGTAACCTGTCCATAATTATAGCATTGTATTGTTTTGTTACATAGTTAAATAAGTGTAACATATTAAATGAATAGCATAATCTTAATTAAACACTTATGATGTGAAAAAAGGTAAACTTATTACAAATGAAATTTAAAGCATTTCGGAATTGTGGCATTAAGAACAGAAATATGATTTTGAAGAAAATAACTTGAATTCTTTCTTCACTGTGACATTATTTGGAAAACAGTTTTGTTCTGGTTTATTTAGATGTAGGATAACACTGTGATTTGTTGTGATATGTTATTGAACACAGTTGTGATTTATCAATTATTTTATTGCACACAGTTGTGATTTATCAGATACATTATGGTATAAAGTTGTGACTTGTTGGGCATGTTATTGCTTATTACATCATGTGTGAGATATTTATAGTATGAAGTTGTGAATTGTTGTATATTTAACAGTTTTCTTGGCCAGAGGTGAAAAAGGAGGAAGGAATCTTTGAGACAAAGATGATCTACAAGTTTGACTATTTACCTGGTGGTCTCTTCAACAGGGGACAGGTAGGGTTTAATATCTTAGGTTTCTCTTCAACAGGGGACAGGTAGGGTTTAATATCTTAGGTTTCTCTTTAACAGGGGACAGGTAGGGTTTAATATCTTTGTTTCTCTTTAACAGGGGACAGGTAGGGTTTAATATCTTAGGTTTCTCTTTAACAGGGGACAGGTAGGGTTTAATATGACACTAAGTTACTAGCAAAATTTATGGGCTGGCACAACATAGTAATATATGTTTACTTCCATTAGGTAAGACTTCATGGAATCTCTGAGGAGTCTGTGATCTGGAAGAGAGGCTCCTTCATCAAGAAGAACGGGCAGCTGGCTTTGGTACAGCAGATCGGGTAAATATCTGATACCATGGTAACCAGGCTTTGAACAAATAATGGTTTTCACAAAACATTATAAAAAATGAACAGAAAAAATATTTTTAATGACGAATTTCAACATTCAAGTGTTCAGATTAAAGTTATACCAGACAGTTACAATTGTATGATATTTCAATTTTTGGTTGCCAGGGAATCAAAACTTCATGTCAAAGTTCAAGGTCCAAGGCCAGACAACCTGCTGTTCTTTATACATGAGGTATTTGAGAGTCTGATCAACGAATCGTTCTACGGTGTCGCCTATGAATGCAAGATTCCGTGCCCTGATTGTATCAGCCAGGTAACTATATACTCAGTGATCTGCGTATGTATAGGTCAGCCTTCGATGATGATTCATATTTTTGTGAAATGTACTTTATTTACTATAAGGTCAAACGTCAAAATGATCAAGCCCAGATGTTTATAGATGCTATTTAACTTGTGCCTTTTATCCTTCCAGTATTTTTTTGTGATAAAACAGGCAGTGTTGGATTTTGTCTCTTTATAAACATCTGATAGAGGCATTTTCTGAAGATGCCTTTCATAAATATGAATTGAAACTTTTCAAATAAATATTTTCAACAAGTACATGAACAATTAAATAAAATTGTCTTGCTAAATGTTTACGTCTTTTAAAACATTGTTTACAAGTATGGTCTTTTTGTATTTTAAGATCTGAATAGGTCATCAAGTATTATATAAATATTATATATTCTATTTTTCAGTATGTGAAAGACCCACACATGTTCAAGGAATCGGGGATCCGCCGAGCTCTGGAACTGAAGGCCCCATTCTTTCAGTGTCATAAATACTTTCATACCACTCCCATCCTAAGCCTTCAAGGTAGGCTAAATATAGATCATGACAGTGCAAGTATTCACCTTCTACAGACTCATAATCAAAGGGCTAGGAATCCTATTAATTTTCGGATTCAAATGTCAGAGATCAAGGTCATTATGACCCAATGCCTGAAAGTGCATTTCAGACCATCGCTTAATTATATGTAACTGCCGTTAACAATAACGGGGTTCAGATCTATATACTTTAACCAAAAGCTAACAGTTCTAGTGAAAATGCAGTCCATTAGTTAATTTAAAATCTGTTTACAGGTATCTTGGCTCCAGACGACAGCAAAGACTACGAAGTTCATCTTAACAACGATGTTAGTGCTCTCAAACAGATGCAGACCGAGATGTCAGTGGGTGAGTATAAAATCAACCATAGTTGTCTCCCTTACTTCTAAACAGGGTATTGTTACCATAATGTAAAACAATCTGATTAAACTCATATGTTACATGGCTTCGTTAACTTCGTACTACGCCTGAACATCTGAGTGTGCCACGGTCAGGGTCACGTTCAGGTGACCTTTATATTTATAAATACTCATTAAATTTTGACCAATCAGAGACACTCTTTCAAAAGGGTGCATGGACTTGTAACAAATATGTCGGACATTGATAAAAATGATGTGAAAGTTCTGAAGTTATTTGAGATTGATTGTCTGAAACCCGAACAGAAAAAGATACTTGAAGCTTTATTAGAGAAGAAAGACTGTATGGCGGTGTTGCCTACGCAATTATTACCAAATGGGTACGTTTTCCTTGGCGTACGTCCTAGAAACATCAGTTCCCGCCGCCATATTTGTTTTAGAAAACTAATCTGTTTGATACCCCTCGCTATTTATCAATCAACCATGATATTCCGATTCGCTGGCAAACTTTTGCCAGCGTGCCTCTGATTGGTTCATCTAAAGGTCACTTGAACGTGTCCCTGACCGCGGCACATTCAGATGTTCAGGCGGAGCCATGTAACATATGATTTTAATCAGATTGAATGTAAAATAGTTTGATGGCATCTGAATCGAAATAAGATGCGTATGTGATAGCTGAAGATCACAACCAGGGACATTGTACGTCTTAAATGTCCCGTCCACAAAAGTCAAGGTCACAGCTAGGGGCATATTGTATCCCTATCTGCCCCTACCACAAAAGTCAAGGTCACAGCTAGGGGCATATTGTATCCCTATCTTCCCCTACCACAAACGTCAAAGTCACAGCTAGGGGCATATTGTATCTCTATCTTCCCCTACCACAATCGTCAAGGTCAGATCTAGGGGCATATTGTATCCCTCTCTTCCCCTACCACAAACGTCAAGGTTACAACTAGGGGCATATTGTATCCATCTCTTCCCCTACCACAAATGTCATGGTTACAGCTAGAGGCATATTGTATCCCTGTCTTCCCCTACCACAAACTTCAAAGTCACAGCTAGGGGCATATTGTTTCCCTTTCTTCCCCTACCACAAATGTCAAGGTCACAGCTAGGGGCATATTGTATCCCTATATTCCCCTACCACAAACGTCAAGGTCACAGCTAGGGGCATATTGTATCCCTATCTTACCCTACCACAAGCGTCAAGGTCACACTAGGAGTATTGTAACCTTTATGACACCGCACACCCATACCAACAGTATCAAAGTCACTGCAACCCATTTCAATTAAAATCATACTTATGGGTCGATTTATCTGAAACTTTGTATGATTTACAATTTGAAAATTGGTTTTAATTATGTTGATTTTGTTAAAAAAAAATGTGCATTTACAACTTTAGTTCAATGACATTCATGTTTCATTTCAGTTATAATTACATCATGAAAATTGGTTTTACTTCAAAAACCTCAAATTAATAAAAAAAAAAAACTAGTTTGGTTTTAATTTAATTTATTATAAAACTATTGAAAGATCTTGAGAAGACTTAAATGTTTTTATTTTCAGATATTTTCATTTCGTACTGTGTCAATGATGCACCCAAGGACAGGTCAAAGGTTATACATCCAGCAGACGTTTACGCTGATCTTGAGAAGGCGGGTTACAGCTGGTGAGAATCAATATACAACAAACTCATTGTTCTTGATCTGACATATATAAGCTGATACAGGTGCCCATCCTGTAATCAGTGCTTCTCCTTACTTTCCTCTTAGGAAACAAAATTCAAGTAAAAGTCATCATCTTATCTGTCCCTTCATTTCTTAGTGATTGTCATCACTCTAGCCCATTTGTGAAAAATGCACCCTCACCAAATTTTGTGAAAGTGACAATTGTTAGGCAAATTAATGGCACTGCATGAAATATGAGGCTTGATACTATGGAAGGGTTTTCCCTACGTATCTCTTTTCTCAGGGAAAACCAGACTCCGGTCACTGCAGGAAAAGATGACCATAGTGTTTTCTTTATAAAGCTGTTGCTCATTTAAGTGTGATCAATATAAAAAGTTATCTTTTTATGTGTGCACCCTAAATGTTACCATGGTGATCTGGTTATATTACTTATCTATACTTTTCTTGCTACAGCTACTTCCCTGAGGGAAAAGACTTGTCATCACGGGAGGAGATGGCCAAAAGGCTAGTGCATGCCTCCGTTTTCCTGGTGTTCGTCTCCAACAACTACGCAGCAGACCCTGTCTGCTGTGACATGTATAAGTACGCTGTAAACACCATGAAGAAGATGACAATCTGTGTAACTGTTGGAGAGAACTTCAACTGGCAAGGGAGTACCACTCTGGGGGTCTTCATCAGCGACGTGGTAGGTAGTATCTATACTCATTGTAGGCTGGTTACTTTATCAGCGATGTGTTGGGTAGTATCTATACTCACTGTAGGCTGGTTACTTTATCAGCGATGTGGTAGGTAGTATCTACACTCATTGTAGGCTGGTTACTTTATCAGTGATGTGGTAGGTATTATCTATACTCATTGTAGGCTGGTTACTTTATCAGTGATGTGGCGGGTAGTATCTATACTCATTGTATGCTGGTTACTTTATCAGCGACGTGGTAGGTAGTATCTATACTCATTGTAGGCTGGTTACTTTATCAGCGATGTGGTGGGTAGTATCTATACTCACTGTAGGCTGGTTACTTTATCAGCGATGTGGTAGGTAGTATCTATACTCATTGTAGGCTGGTTACTTTATCAGTGATGTGGTAGGTAGTATTTATACTCATTGTAGGCTGGTTACTTTATCAGTGATGTGGTGGGTAGCATCTATACTCATTGTAGGCTGGTTACTTTATCAGCGATGTGGTGGGTAGTATCTATACTCACTGTAGGCTGGTTACTTTATCAGCGATGTGGTAGGTAGTATCTACACTCATTGTAGGCTGGTTACTTTATCAGTGATGTGGTGGGTAGCATCTATACTCATTGTAGGCTGGTTACTTTATCAGCGATGTGGTAGGTAGTATCTACACTCATTGTAGGCTGGTTACTTTATCAGTGATGTGGTGGGTAGTATCTATTCTCATTGTAGGCTGGTTACTTCATCAGTGATGTGGTTGGTAGTATCTATACTCATTGTAGTCTGGTTACTTTATCAGTGATGTGGTAGGTAGTATTTATACTCATTGTAGGCTGGTTACTTTATCAGTGATGTGGCAGGAAGTATCTATACTCATTGTAGGCTGGTTACTTTATCAGCGATGTGTTGGGTAGTATCTATACTCACTGTAGGCTGGTTACTTTATCAGCGATGTGGTAGGTAGTATCTACACTCATTGTAGGCTGGTTACTTTATCAGTGATGTGGCGGGGAGTATCTATACTCATTGTAGGCTGGTTACTTTATCAGCGATGTGGTAGGTAGTATCTACACTCATTGTAGGCTGGTTACTTTATCAGTGATGGGGTGGGTAGTATCTATACTCATTGTAGGCTGGTTACTTTATCAGTGATGTGGTGGGTAGCATCTATACTCATTGTAGGCTGGTTACTTTATCAGCGATGTGGTAGGTAGTATCTACACTCATTGTAGGCTGGTTACTTTATCAGTGATGTGGTAGGGATTATCTATACTCATTGTAGGCTGGTTACTTTATCAGCGATGTGGTAGGTAGTATCTACACTCATTGTAGGCTGGTTACTTTATCAGTGATGTGGTGGGTAGCATCTATACTCATTGTAGGCTGGTTACTTTATCAGCGATGTGGTAGGTAGTATCTACACTCATTGTAGGCTGGTTACTTTATCAGTGATGTGGTGGGTAGCATCTATACTCATTGTAGGCTGGTTACTTTATCAGTGATGTGGTAGGTAGTATTTATACTCATTTTAGTCTGCCAGGCACAATGATCATGAACTGTCAGCTTAGCAAAAACATCAGTGATAAGATAAAAGATGGTATATATTTCCTTTAGCTCAATCCACAAAAAAACCCACCATTGGTAACAATATTCTGTTACTGAATAGACCAGTTATCTCATTCACCCCTGAAATTTCATAATGAACTATTCCTACCTCTGAACTGGAAAGAGTTCAAATATGTCTTCAGGGCTGATTGAGTTAATGGTAGTGATCATGCTGACAGAATTTCCGTTTGTTTTTGGAGTTCTTTGGTAAGATGAGTTTTTTTGCTCAGGTGACCGTTCAGGCCACATGGGCCATTTGTTTTTGTTTTTTGGTAAGATGAACATTTTATTTTACAGATTTTTGTTAACATGGTCAACTCTAAGAAGGCTGCGTACAAATCTAAGTTTGATGAATTACTGTCCGCACTACAGAAGAATGACCAGCTACATGTTGGGAAGCAGGACACTAGTAGCAATGCTTGTTTCATTAGCTACGCATGGGTGAACTCCCAACAGGCTGTCGCGCTTGGCTCAAAGTAAGTACAGCTTACCAATCAACAAGGTTTTTACTCAGTCTGCAAAATATATCTTTGAAATAATATGTTGATACAACATCTGTCCATTTGTCTGTCTGGTGTCATCTTTCTTTAAACAACTTCTTAAGAAATGACAATATGCTCACTTATTGAGCATTTTTTGTCCTAGCTAGGAAAACAACTTTTACAAATTAATGAATTTGGATGATAATCTTTCACTTCATACAGCAAAAAAACAGATCCTTTATAACCTCTTGTTGCTTTATTCCAATGATTCTTTAAAGTTGGGTGGAATTGTTGTTTTTAGTAAAAAGGAAGAAGCGCTGGGATATGGTGATCCTCGAGAGATCAAGGCGTTCTTGGAGAAGAAGGGTGTTCCATGTTGGTTAGACATTGAACAGATGAATGTGGTTAGTATTCATTCAACTCAACATGTTTTACTATATTCCAGCTTATGGGGTAAACATTTCGTTGCACTGCATTCTTGAAAAATTATTGGGCCCCTTTCATGTATCCAGTTCAACCTGTTGGTCTGTTTTCAAATGTAACATTTTCGAATACAAATCCTGGCAGACCTACAAATGTTTATATAGGCCTTGCAAGGCTTTGTTAAGGCTCGTCTGAAAGCAGCATCAGATTACTAGGTCAAACCTTATTTCATAAAAGAACAACTCTGGTCCAACAGGTTCAACCGTTTGGATTGCAATAATCGAATGTGGCCTTGGTATTCATCAAGAAACAGTGGATCCTCCTTTGACATATAGAGATGATATATACAGACATCTGTGTTGTTAAAACAATGGATTAATATTAGATTTTTTCCCTTTAAATATTATGATTTTTTCTCTATCTCACAGAATGACCAGCTGTTCCATAGATTAGCCAAGGGTCTGTCAGAGTCACGCATCATGGTGGCCTGTGTTTCCGATGAGTACGCCCTCTCCGAAAACTGCTGTAAAGAAATTCGGTTTGCTGTACAACTCAAATTGCCGATTGTCGTTGCTGTTGTTGGGACTGGGAATGCCTGGAAACAGTCAGAGGTCGTTTGATTTGTAATAATTATTATAAAAATCTCATGAGTTAGTTCCTGAAATTGATTGATAATTTTCTACTGAGAGGTTACTTATAATATCCATAAAAGCATATATAATATATATGTTTGACAGATGACTTTGTATGCCTTGTTGGGGTCTTTGACACGTTTAACAGATGAATTTATATTCCTTGTTTGAGAAATTAGCATGTTTGACAAATTAAATTTTATTCCAGGTTGGTTTCCATGCCAATTCCTTCCCTACTGTTGATTTCCAGCAACAAACTAACGTTTCCCATAAGCAACTGCTCGCCCTGGTAAAGGAGAATATGCTGCCAGAACGACAGGAGGATGCTGATGAGAAAAAGAGGAAGATAGAACTCGCTAATGCAGAAAAAGCTCAGATCTCTTTTCAGGTACTGACCTCGATGATTGTCTTTTGAAACCTCTTTTATGTAATTTTGAAACATCAACAATCTATTTAAACAGCTTTGCAGCAATTTAATTGGTCAAGCTATGTATCCATACAAGTTGGAAGCAAAGAACTTCATTCAGATCATTAGGAACCCTTAAATCTGCAGAGCATAAACAGCTACAACTATATACATGTAAGCATTGACTGGTGGAATCGTTATCACTGCAAATCCGATGATGGATTTTTTAATCACAACTGAAGAAATTCATTAAAATAATTCTAATAAAATTGACAGGAAATGTTTGAGTTAGCCCAGAGGAAGTTTCTGCGACAGATTTCGAGATACGCCAGCGAACAAGACATTGGAACCTATCCCCGGTTGTTTGCAGTCGACATCATGGCCAAGCCGAGTCAAAGTAAGGTCATAACTAGACATGGCCAAGATCTAGAGCTCAAGTGCATTTGAACACTGATGTATCGTTAAAGCTAGTTTAACTCTTGGTATTGACAGCTTTAAATCTGACATACTGATAAGGCTTATTTATACACTGCCCCTTTGGCTCGTCCTATGAGATGATAAACCTTTGTTACAGAAGAAACCATTTTTGTAAACACAGTTTTATAAAATGTATAAACAGAATGTTTTGATATTTATAAAGTTAATATATTGATTTAAAATGATGTGTTTTCGTTCTGTTTCAAAAGACACTGAAGCATCAAAAGATGATGCAGACATACGGACATACAGCATTTATACGCTATGTGAATGTGAACAGGTAAGACATACATCATTTATACCCTATGTGAATGTGAACAGGTAAGATATACAGCATTTATACGTTATGTGAATGTGAACAGGTAAGACATACAGCATGTTAACAGGTAAGACATACAGCATTTATACGCTATGTGAATGTGAACAGCTAAGACATACAGCATTTATACCCTATGTGAATGTGAACAGCTAAGACATACAGCATTTATACGCTATGTGAATGTGAACAGGTAAGACAAACAGCATTAATACCCTATGTGAATGTGAACAGGTAAGACATACAGCATTT